CATCAAATTCATTGCTCATAGATGTCTTATATCCATTTCTATATGTATCACATTATAGATCATCATTGTAAGTCAAACACTAAAAATCAAAGCCAAAAAATCCAGTCGATTTTAATATTCCTTAATAGATATCCTATATTATTGCATTAGTATTCAAATTATTAGAACTTTTAGATACTACCATTAAATAATACAATTATCTGACTTTTTAAATATTGGCTATCTTCACTTCAGTACTACTTTGTTATAATGCAATAGAGCTATCATATTCATTCAAATTTATAATAAATATTTAATATATTTAGAATTCAGTCCTCTTACACTAACTTATATATGCATATATATCATAATATATATATTCTGATTATGAACAAGACACAAATGTATCTGTTGAAGTAATTGAAATTGATATGTATTGAATATTGTTTAATTATGCTCCTAAAATAAATTTATCATTAGCTTATGTAAAGTATTTAGTTAATTTACCAAAGGCAGAATCTCCATTTACTAAATATCCATTAGTATATATAATATTTTATTTGAGATTTGTGCTAATCTTATGTGAAACATCAAAAGGATATTTACTATTTATTGCATTTGTTCCTGTATTTATATAATACCCTCCTATTTATTCAGTTAATGCTTCAAATGTCCCAGTAATTGATAAAGGATACAACTTCCAATATTGATTTATAAATCGTAAAGGTGTTCTAGTAGATAATTCAATTGATAATATTAACAATTAAATGTATTATTCAAAAATGGTTTGATATGAATTATTTATTATAGTATCATCAAAGGCCATAATTGCAAAATTAATTTATTATACATTAGCTCCACTCACTGTTATCAAAACATTATTAGCATCTTAAACTACATTGAATGTATGTCCTTAATTATAACCAAATATTAATGTCTTAACAGATGTTGTACCATAAATATCAACCATATATCCAATAAATTAACCATAATTACTTGAATAAGTAAGTTATTAATTATTAATTTAATATCCACTAGTAATAAAATGTTAAATAGTAAATTGATTGAATGTAAATTATGTTTACATTTGTAATCCAAATACTAATATTTCTGGAAATTAAACAGTAAAATATGAAAATCCATTACTATCATATTATATAGAAGCTGTTTAATAATTGATATTTACATTATTTAATTAAATTAATGCACTATTTGCAGTAAATTTACTTGAAGAGAATGCTGTAGCAATATAATTGGATCCATCAGTCACTTTTAATGGTAATAAATTAGTTGGTATAGCTTCAAGTAAAAATTGATGATTTTCCAAAAATGTTTATTTAACATTTTTAAGATATGGGATGCATTCAAATGCTCTACCTTACCAATATAATTGACCAATATAATTTGATATAGTTATTATTTATGAATTTGTAGCAGCATTAAAAGTAGTACTACTAACATAAAATTCTGTTAATAAAATTACTTATTAAGCAGAACTGAATTCAATATTTAATTAATATATTGTACTTATAATAGAACTTGAAATTGTTGGAGGATTGTTAATATTGTAAGTAAATACTAATACAACAGTATATGAATCATCTATATTGAATGTTATTATTTATTAATTTAGAGTTGATTTAGGTACAGTATTACTTTGAATATTTTCATTATTTGCAATTGTAGCAAATTAGTATCTCATTCTTAAATTTAAAATTGTAGCATCTTTTTAAAAGAGTAAATATCTAGTATTATCTTTAATAAAATGGAAATAAGAGGCTTAATCACCGAAAGGACTTTATTCAATTTGAATTCGATCTGATTTAAACAGTAATAATTAGTAATTATTTTTATCTGTTGAAATAATACCTTATTATAAAGAACTTTAAAGGGAACAGGAAATAGAGGAATCAATAGTAGTATCCATTACTATAGTAGCAGGAGATAGTGAATTTGTATTTAGCCAATCGATTAAATTATTGGAACTTAAAGATGATAAAGAAGAAGCTAATTTACCAAAGTTAATGTCTTAGCAAGAAGATCTGCAATTATGTGTATTATCAGGTAAAGCACATACACATCTTCCATTTAATAAAACTCTGTTACTATTACAAGTTAAACAGGTGTTTAAATTACAAGTTGCACAATCAATAGGGCATTATTAAACACATTATCCTAATTAATTCATTTCAAATCCTTATTTACAAACACAAGCAAATCCATTTCTAAATGCAAGTGAATCATATTTAATTGTATCACATGTTAGACATGAATATTATTTATTACAAGTTTAACATGTGAAATGACAAATCTTGCAGATACCATTATCTTCAAAATATCCATCATCACAAATGCATTAATAATTAAACAAATGTCTATTTAGTCCAGGTAAGCATGTTTTACATTTTGTCCCATCTGTATAAGTGTAGCATTATTCACATGGACTTGTACAAGATTTACAATCTTGATCATTTGTCATATTATCATAATAGGTATCTTAACAAATACAAGTATTACCAACAGGTATACGATGTTTTAGAGGATCACAAAGATGGCATTCTGTTGCTAAATTCTAACATTTTTAACAAGTGTAATTACATTGGCTACAAATAACATTTGAACCAATTTAAAAGTATCCATCTATACATTAACAAATTTAGGAGACAACTATACGATTTGAACCAATAACACAAGATGTACACTCATATCCAGTACCATTATCTATGCATTCTAAACAAGGAGATTTGCACAAACTACACAATAATATTCCAGTAGTCTCATAATATCCATCATTGCAAGGACATATATTATTTGTAGCATCAAATATTCTATTTAATCCTGTTTAGCAAGTAAGACATTGAGTACCATCTGCTGGTGGAGATGTTTAAGAAATTATACAAGATAAACAAGGAGGTATACATTATAAACACTATGATGATGAGATTTATTCAAAATGATTAATATTACAAACACATTACTTACTTGAATTTAAATATCTATTATCCCCTGCTTTACATTGAGTGCATTAAGTGCCGTCTCCATTATTTTCACAATTATAACATGTATTAGCACAAGGTAAACATGGAGAAGTGTCGTTATTTTGATAGTAAGATGTTTTACAAACACAGATTTAATTTTAAACTTCTCGATTATAAGTAGGAATACAAGTTAAACATTTACTACCATCGTTGGGAGCACAATTCTCACATGGAATATTACAAGATAGACATGATAATTCACCTACTGGCTAATAGTATCCAACAACACAACTATAGCAAAATGTTGGAAGAGAGACACATGAAGCACAAGGATGTTGACAGGTTTAGCAATCTTTGGTAGCAGTTTCATAATATCCAAAATCACATTCACATGTATTACCATTTAGTATACGTTCAGGTGTGCAAGCTATACATCTATTGCTTTACAATTCACATTAGAAGCATGGAAAAGAGCAGGGTTAACAGACAAGACTTGTTCCAAAATAACCATCTTAGCATAAGCATTTTTTAGCTGGATCTCTGAATGTAGATGGTTTACATTAGTCGCAATCTAATTCATTTGCAATACATGAAACACAATATGAAGCACAAGCTTAACATATTAAATATCCCGCATCAAAATATCCTGTATCACAAATACATTTATTAGTTATATTGTTTAATATTCGATTATTCCCAACCACACATGATTTACATTAATTTCCATCATAATTTATTCCATTTATATCTGTTCCACTCAAACATGTTAGACATGGATCAATACAAAATTCACATATAAGTTGAACATTAGAGTAATACTTACCATCTTGGCAAACACATTAATTATTATCTAAAGTTCTTAAATAAACATCGGTATTGCAAGAAGTACAACTTGTTGATTAATTTACACAAGTTACACATTATATATCACAAATCAAACAAATATTATTATCTAAATAATATCCATCTTCACAACTTGTACATTTAGTAGCTGTATCAATACATGTCTTACAATTAGAATCACAAATTAAACACTCACTAGAACCATTATTTTGATCATAATAATGAGGTAGACAAACACATAAATCATTAACAACTCCTCTTTTATCTATTAAAAAACAATCAACACATGTAGTTGTTGTTGTAATACAGTTAAAGCATGGTGGAGTACATGGCAAACAAATAGATCCACTTAAAAAATATTATGGTATGCAAGAAAGGCAAACTGAATCTGATGAACATTCATAACATGGTGATATACATGAATGACAAGTTTTATCAGATCCTGATACTAATAAATACTCTCCAGGAGCACATTAAGCACATTCAACATTTGCAGTGCCTGTGCATTTGTAACAAGTAGGATGACATGCTTAACAATTTGATGTATTATCTAAAAAATATCGAAATTAACAATCCAAACAAATTTCTACTTATGATGGCGATTAGCAAATAGCACATGGAGGATTGCACACTAAACAAACTCCATTATCATTAACAGTGATATTATCTAGATACATCCCAGAAATGCATGTCTAACAATTTGTAGTTGTATCTTTGCATGTTGCACAATTAATATCACATGTTGCTTCACAAACATAACTTGAAGGGTTAATATACATTTCATCAAGACAAGATGTGCAATGTGATGGATCTATGATGCAAGTTAAACAATTATCGATACAAATTAAATCACACATGAAGTTTTATTAGTTTAAACTATATCCATCATGACAGGTTTAGCAAAATGTTGTTGAAATTGAGCATGTTAAGCAATTAGTATCGCATTCACTTTAACACTCATTCGTGGATTTATTTAAATACATTCCATCATAACAAGAAACACAATATGTTGGAGAGTTGATGCAAGATGCACAATTTGAATCGCATATGACAATGCATTTATTTAATCCTGAATCTAGTTAAAATCCTGAAAAACATGTAAGGCAATAAGTTGTTGTTGCTTAACAAGTGGCACAATTTGAATTACATGAAGGTTAGCATGAACTATTTTATTCATTTAAGTAACTTCCAGTTGGGCATGTTAAACAGTTAGTTGTTACTATAAAACAAGTATCACAATTTGAATCACAGGAAGCTTGACATTGATAGTTTGATTTATTTAAATACATTCCTGAATTACAAGTTTTGCATCGTGTTGTAGTTATTAAACAAGTCAAACAATTAGTATCACAATTAGTTTAGCAAGAATTAGTTGATAAATTTAGATAATAATTATCATAACAAGTTAAACATCTAGTAGTTGTAGTTTAACATGTCAAACAATTTGAATCACAAGTAGATTAACATAAATTTGTAATCTCATTTAAATACATATCTACATTACAACTCAAACAGTGTGTAGTCGTTGTTAGACAAGTTGAGCAATTAGTATCGCATGTTAATGAACATGTGTTCATCAATAAATCCAAATACATTCCAGGATTACAAGTTAGACAATAATTACTTAAAATTTAGCATGTAGCGCAATTGATATCACAAAAATTCTAACATGCATTAGTTTATTAATTTAAAAAAAAACCTGAAAAACATGTTAAACAATTTTTTGTTGTTGTTTAACAAGTATTGCAATTTGGATCACAAGTAGATTAGCATTAATTACTTAATTGATTTAAATATTATCCAGGATTGCAAGTGAGACAATTTATTGTAGTTGTTTAACAAGTTAAGCAATTAAGATCGCAATTTGGTTAACATTAATTATTTGATAAATTTAAATATTATCCAGCTGGACAAGTTAAACAATGAATAGTAGTAACTTAACAAGTATCACAATTAATATCACAAGTTGGTTGACAAGTTTTTGTTGTTAAATTTAAATAAGTTCCCAAGTTGCAAGATTCACAATTGGTTGTTGTTCCTGAACAAGTAGCACAATTAGCATCACAATTTGAATCACAAACATCTGTTAATTAATTTAAATATTGCCCAGAAAAACAACTTAAACAAAAATTAGTATAAGTTTAGCACGTTGCACAATTTGCATCACAAACGGAATCGCAAGAATAAGTTGAAGGATTTAAATATAAACCAGTTCCACATGTTAAACAATGAGTAGTAGTTGTTTCACAAGTTGCACAATTTGAATCACATTAAGATTAACATAAATTGTTTGACTAATTTAAATACATACCTAAATTGCAAGTTAAACAATAAGTAGTTGTATCTTGACAAGTAGCACAATTTATATCACAATTAGATTAGCATTGATTATTCTATAAATTTAAATACATTAAATCATAACAAGAGAGACAATTAATAGCAGTTGTTTCGCAAGTTTCGCAATTTGAATCACATATGATATAACAAATTGTACTTGTTCCTCTTAATTCCCATCCATCATGACATGTTAAACAATATGTTGTTAAAGTCTAACATGTTGCACAATTTGAATCACAAGTAGATTAACATTGATTATTTGATACATTTAAATATGATCCAACATCACATGTTAAACAATGTGTAGTTGTAGTTTAACAAGCTAGGCAATTGGAATCACAAGTAGATTGACATGTATTAGTAGCTACATTCATATACATGTTAATATCACAAGTCAAGCAATAGGTTGTAGTTGTTTAGCATGTTAAACAATTAGCATCGCAATTAGTTTAACATAAATTTTACACTTAGTCTAAATAATCTCCGTTATTACAAGATAAACAGTGAGTTGTAATTGTTTGACATGTATTACAATTAGTATCACAATTAGACTGACAAATATTTGTTGCTTGATTTAAATACATTCCAACTGTACATGTTAAACAATATGTTGTTAAAGTCTAACATGTTGCACAATTTGAATCACAAGTAGATTAACATTGATTATTTGATACATTTAAATATGATCCAACATCACATGTTAAACAATGTGTAGTTGTAGTTTAACAAGTTAAGCAATTGGAATCACAAGTAGATTGACATGTATTAGTGGCTACATTCATATACATGTTAATATCACAAGTCAAGCAATAGGTTGTAGTTGTTTAGCATGTTAAACAATTAGCATCACAGGTTGATTAGCATTCATGACTAGATTAATTTATATACATTCCAGCAATGCAAGTTAAGCAATGCGTAGTTATTGTTTGGCAAGTTAAACAATTATTATCACAAGTAGATTAACATAAATGATTTGTTTAATTTAAATAATATCCATTTTAACAAGTTAAGCAGAAAGTAGTAGTATCTTAGCATGTCAAGCAATTAGAATCACATGATACTTAGCATTAGTTATTTGATTAATTTAAATACATACTAAGTGGGCAAGTTAAACAATGAGATGATTCTAAGTAACAAGTTTAACAATTAATATCACAGTTAGGTTAACATTAGGATGTTATTAGATTTAAATACATACTAGGATTGCAAGTTAAACAATGCGTAGTTGTAGTCTCGCAAGTTAAACAATTTACATCACATGAAGAAAAACATTAGCTTGTCAAGATACTTAAGTATTCCCCCGAGTGACATGTTTAACAATGAGTAGTTGTATCCACACAAGTAGAACAATTACTATCACAAGAGGATTCACATTAATGTGTGACTTCATTTAAGAAAAATCCAGGATAACATGTCAAACAATTATTTACAGTTGTTATGCAGGTTAAACAATTTGGGTCACAAACAAGAACACATTTATTTGTAATATTATCCACTCCATAATCTTAATAGCAGTGTGTGCAATGAGTAGTTGTGATTGAACATTATTAACAATTTGAATCACAACTGGATTGGCAAATATTAGTGGATTAATTCAAATAAAATCCTGAATCACATGTTAAACAATGTGTTGTTGTAGTTTGACAAGTTAAACAATTACTATCACAAGAAGATTAGCAAATATGAGTTGATTAATTCAAATAAAATCCTGAATCACATGATAAACAATGTATTGTTGTAGTTTGACATGTTAAACAATTACTATCACAAGAGGATTAGCAAATGTTTGTTGATTAATTCAAATAATTACCTGAATCACATGTTAAACAATGGGTTGTTGTAGTTTGACAAGTTAAACAATTACTATCACAAGAAGATTAGCAAATATGAGTTGATTAATTCAAATAAAATCCTGAATCACATGATAAACAATGTGTTGTTGTAGTTTGACAAGTTAAACAATTACTATCACAAGAAGATTAGCAAATATGAGTTGATTAATTCAAATAAAATCCTGAATCACATGATAAACAATGTGTTGTTGTAGTTTGACAAGTTAAACAATTACTATCACAAGAAGATTAGCAAATATGAGTTGATTAATTCAAATAAAATCCTGAATCACATGATAAACAATGTGTTGTTGTAGTTTGACAAGTTAAACAATTACTATCACAAGAAGATTAGCAAATATGAGTTGATTAATTCAAATAAAATCCTGAATCACATGATAAACAATGTGTTGTTGTAGTTTGACAAGTTAAACAATTACTATCACAAGAAGATTAGCAAATATGAGTTGATTAATTCAAATAAAATCCTGAATCACATGATAAACAATGTGTTGTTGTAGTTTGACAAGTTAAACAATTACTATCACAAGAAGATTAGCAAATATGAGTTGATTAATTCAAATAAAATCCTGAATCACATGTTAAACAATGTGTTGTTGTAGTTTGACAAGTTAAACAATTACTATCACAAGAAGATTAGCAAATATGAGTTGATTAATTCAAATAAAATCCTGAATCACATGTTAAACAATGTGTTGTTGTAGTTTGACAAGTTAAACAATTACTATCACAAGAAGATTAGCAAATATGAGTTGATTAATTCAAATAAAATCCTGAATCACATGATAAACAATGTGTTGTTGTAGTTTGACAAGTTAAACAATTACTATCACAAGAAGATTAGCAAATATGAGTTGATTAATTCAAATAAAATCCTGAATCACATGATAAACAATGTGTTGTTGTAGTTTGACAAGTTAAACAATTACTATCACAAGAAGATTAGCAAATATGAGTTGATTAATTCAAATAAAATCCTGAATCACATGATAAACAATGTATTGTTGTAGTTTGACATGTTAAACAATTACTATCACAAGAGGATTAGCAAATGTTTGTTGATTAATTCAAATAATTACCTGAATCACATGTTAAACAATGGGTTGTTGTAGTTTGACAAGTTAAACAATTACTATCACAAGAAGATTAGCAAATATGAGTTGATTAATTCAAATAAAATCCTGAATCACATGATAAACAATGTGTTGTTGTAGTTTGACAAGTTAAACAATTACTATCACAAGAAGATTAGCAAATATGAGTTGATTAATTCAAATAAAATCCTGAATCACATGATAAACAATGTATTGTTGTAGTTTGACAAGTTAAACAATTACTATCACAAGAAGATTAGCAAATATGAGTTGATTAATTCAAATAATTACCTGAATCACATGTTAAACAATGTATTGTTGTAGTTTGACAAGTTAAACAATTACTATCACAAGAAGATTAGCAAATATTAGTTGATTAATTCAAATAATTTCCTGAATCACAAGAAGTACATTAAACTGTTTTCTCAAAACAAGTAGCACAGTTAGGATCGCAATTTGATTGACATGTATTAAGTTATTCATTTAAATACATATTCGATGCACATGACAAACAATGATTATTATATATTTAACAAGTTAAACAGTTTCCATTACACATATTAACACAAGTGTTATCTACTAAATTTATATATAAAGGACAATTTTGTACACATTCTTATTAGTTTTTAAATTTAGGTGGATCACATGATACGCATATATTGCTTGCGGTATCCAAATATTTATTTTAGTTTATGTCACACTTTGTGCAATAATTAGAACTTTAGAAGCATTCTAAACAGTTTGCATCACAATTTAAACATAAATTGCCAGATATATACCACCCTTATAAACAAGTATCGCAAGTTGTTCCACTGGAACATGTTTCACATTCAGCAAGACAATTTAAACAACCTCCAAGTCCATCATCATATTATTAAGTGGAACATTAACCTTATACTTAAGTAATCAGAATTAAAATGTTTAAAAACAAAGTCTTCATAGTTTTTATTAATATTTTTAAAACAGCTTTGAGTAGATTTTTAATTTCACTTTCAATAAAGCGAATATTAGATTCTTCAAAGATAATAAAAAGAGAATATGTATTATATTCATATTTACGTTTTAATATGATCAATTTATTTATTATTAGAATTATTCCATTTTCGTACTTTATAGGATATATTTTAGAAATAACATTTTTAAGCTGATATGATTTAAAGAATGATGTATGATTATGTTTTTTTATCAGAAGTTTTATAAATTATTAAAAACCTTATAATCGTTTACTGAATTTACATTATTTTCAAATCCTCTAACGATAAAGTTGATATTCATAAATTAAAATAATTCATTTGGACTTTATAAATAAAAAAATGAAATGTCTAATTTATTGATATGCTTTATAAATAAAATATTTTATCTGTCCAGGCTCGAAATTATAATAATCATATTAATTGAAAAAAGTTAATTTTTTGGGTTTTTCTTTCTGAAAATATCATTTCATAATTAGTCAACAATGAGACTAAATAAGTTGTAAAACTAATTTATTTTAGGAAAATTTTGGCATTTATAAATTAAGGAGAATAGTTAAGAAACAACTTTGCCAACGCTCTATTAATATCTCATTGCGGTTTTAATAATTTCAATACTATATCACTTTGGATTTCTCAAAATATAAATAACTGAATCGCCTCTTAAAAACATCTTTGGAATAAATCTTTCTTTATTTGTAGCATGAGCTTTCTTTCCTTTATTTCCTTTTGGAATTTCTGTCCACATTTCAGTAACATTCTCCAGAATCTTGATTGATTAAATATTAATAAAAGTACCATATTCATATGTCTATCAAAAGCTTTAACTCTTCCTAAAAGCTTTCTATTATTTCTTAGCTCTATTAACACTTGAGTATTGTGACTCACAGTAATTGTCAACAATCCAAATGGTCCTTTTTCTAGCGTTTCCTCTTAAGCTGTTCGCTTCTAAGTTTCGGCCATTTTAGAATTAATTAATGATAATAATATATTTTATAATAATATATTAAATTGTTTGTTCTATATTGCCATCTCAAAATTTCTAATATACTTAGAAGATAAACTAAGCTAAAATATATAAATTTTTTTGTTTTTAGAACTTCTTCGTTATCAGCCCTGTTGATATGCCTGGTTCATTTTTATTCAATAAATAAAAATTAATATATAATGATATATCAATTCAGTCTCTTAGAGTTATATGTATCATCACCTCCTGCATAACTAATCCCTTATAAATTTGGCTAAGGAGGATTTGGGGTCTCTTAAATCTGAATATTAGGCATTCTAAGTCCTTCAGACCTTGAAGCATTTGTTTCTGCAAAGGTTTTTAGAGGAGATTTAATATTCAAATTGTATAATTCTGACCATTTAATATTTGCAAAAAAAGGGTGATATTTTATTTCTTGGTATCCCTTTAAATATAGAAAAAACATTACTATTTAAGCTCCAATTCTTTCCTTTGGATTATCTTTTAGCAAACTTTAAACTAAATTTTTAGCTTCATCACTCATTATTGATGGATAATTCGGCTTATTTTGTAGAATTAATTATAGAATCTTTTAAGTGTTTCTGTCTGGCACTGTAAAAGGCGTATATCCATTTATCATTTCGTATATTAAGATGCCTAATGTCCATAAATCAACTTCAAAAGAATGACCTTTCTTGTTTATGATTTCTGGAGCTAAATATTCAGGAGTTCCAGCTAACTTATATAATTATTAATGTTTACAGTATAATTTTTAACATTTTCATCTTTTCTTAAAGTAGCTAAACCAAAATCTGTTAATTTAACATGTCCTGTTGTTGTAAGTAAGATATTTTCTGGTTTCAAATCCCTATATATAACTTTCAACTAATAATTCAAATATTCCAAAGCTAAAACAACTTCAGCTGCAACAAAAGCAACAATGGACTCTGGTAAACCTTTTGTTTTCATAAGAATTTTAAAGAATTCCCCTCCATTAATGTATTCCATAACTAAATATAATTTAGTTGGGGTTTAGAAGGAATATTTTAACTATACAATAAATGGATGTTTGCTTTATTTTAAGACATTTTTCTCCAATAATGCATTTGATTCTAATTTACTATCAAATATCAGTTTCTTATTGATGCATTTTATAGCATATATTTTTTAATTGTTCTTTTTTTTAACTTTATACACTTTTCCAAAGGCACCCTAATTAATTTAACTTATACTTTGCCAACTGTGGCTAACATAATGAAATCTTCCAAGCCTACTCGCTTTTGATTTTGTTCAGGCATAAATGATGTGGAATTATCTAAAGTCTTACTTGATTTTATCGCTATTTCCTCTGAGTCTTAATAAACAGCATACATTCTTAAATTGGTTGCAATACAGTCTATTAATTCAGAGAACTTTGAAATTCCTTTTTTTCTGTTTTCATAAAATCGCATATATTTCCCATTCTCAAATTTTGATAATTATAAAACTCAAATATAAATTATTAAAAATTTTAATCCTCTCATAATAAACATCATTAAATTACTCAACAGCAATATAATTATACAAAAAATCATGACTTATTTCCTTCTTAATTTAATAAATAATGAAAATGCTTATCTTCTGATACTAAAACCTCACATACCAAAAAGGATCTGTTTTGAATAAAGAAATTAATTTAATTTTAGTTATTGTAATATTGATATAAAAAATCTCTATTTGTCTTAGTTTATTTTTAATTTTTAATCATAAATATTTATATTCTTCTATTATCATTTATTATTCTGATTATATAATAAGCTTGATGTAATCAAAATTTATAACAAATCATTTTTTTTCTTTTTCTTTTTTCTATCTTTTTATCTATACTAAAGGTCTTAAACCTTCTTGCCATTATACAGTTGACATTTTAACCCCTGGCACGAACATATGTCTAACATGCTAAATATTTTTCTCATTAAATTTCATTGAATAGGGAGGATAGTGTGTATCTGGATCAAAAGCTTTATATTTTTATGATTTATAATTACCACTATATGTTAGTTTTGCTAATTTATTTCCAGTAATGCTTAGAGACTTTCTTTTTTACATCTCTTCCTTATAATTTGGTAAAAATTCAGGAAAAATATCTTTTCTTTTAGTTTTTGGAACAGTAGTCCAATTGCGTTCTTTCTCAACAAGACTTTTATCAGTTCTGGCATAAGACCGAAGACCAGTTTCAAATTCTGCTTAACTTAAATGGGGAGTCGGGCCTATTCTACCTTTTATTAGATGTAAAATCTATGAAGAATTTTCAGTGTAATTGATATCTCTAGAAAGATGTTTTACTTTTTAAGACTCAATTTTTTGATCCCCTCTTGTAAAAACTTGATTAGGTATTCGAGCTAACTTTGATGTCATTTCTGTCTATTGTCATACAAGAAATTTACATTATCCATGTTTCTTAACTGAAGCACAAACTCTATATCTTTTTCTGTAATGTATGGTTCTGCTAAAAAATGGCTATAATAATTAACGTTTCTTGGAATTCCATGCTTTTCAGGAGTCTTATGAGTTTGAGATTTTTCTGGTTTTGGTATGGCAGAATGAGAGACACTCTTTGTTACTTAGTTTTTCATATTTATTAATAATTATTAATTTAATATATTTACATTAGAAAAATTAAAAAAAGAAAGAATCTCGAATAATTTTCACTGTTATGAATCAACAACTTGAATAATAATACATAAACCTATGTTTTTATTTTAATAAATATAATTATTATTGAAAGTTAATACTTTTTATCCAATGGGATAATGCTGTTTAGGGTATAAAGAGTAAGAAAAGAAATGCCAAATTATTTTGTAAACTTAAATTCAAAATACAATTATTTCTGAAGGAGATCTCAACTACATTAATCAAATTAAACTTATACAAGGTAATTGATATAAATCTACATAAGCTTGTGTCAGAGGGTATTTGGTAAGAAAAAGATATTAGGAATTAATCTAAAAATTGAAACAAAAAAAAATTTTAATGAAGGAATAGAAATATTACTCAAATGATTTGAGTTTCAATGACTCTGCCCCATTTTAAGACACTAAACCATCTTAGATCACTAAATTGGAATATTTGTATGTAGAAAAGTTTTAAAAATTGGATAAAGTACCTGATTATTTAGTTAATAGAGTGAATAAGGTAATATGACACTTTACTTTTAATTTAAAGATTCTATAATAAAATTCATCATTTAATTATGATAAGGAAGAAGAGAACTAATTTAATTTTTAGATCCATCAATTGGATGATGGTTGCATTTATTAAGGACAGTGGAAAAATAGGTACTTTTAATAATAATTTTTGTGAGAATGAAGCATGGTTGTGGTAAGCAATATTGGCTTAATGGTTAATATTATGAAGGATATTGGGCTTATAATATGTTTCAAGGAAGAGGTAGGCTAATCAAAGTGGATGGTGATATATATGAAGGAGAATTCAAAAATAATAAAACTTCAGGAAAAGTTATAGTAATTTTAATATATAGGGAACTCTTTACAGCGTTGACGGTCTCAAATATGATGGTTAATGGGAAGATGATGCTAAAAATGGTTATGGCATTGAAACATGGTGTGATGGATCTATATATGAGGGTTATTATAAAAATGGACTCAAGAACGGATAAGGAACATTTAAATGGGCTGATGGATCAATCTACACTGGAGAATTTGTTAATGGAAATATTGAAGGAGAAGGTGAATTCAAGTGGGAAGACGGTAGAATTTATATTGGCTAATGGAAGAACAATTAAATGGATGGTTAAGGGGTAAAAATATTTTACAATATTAGATTTTCAAATGGCCAGATAATAGAAAATACTTAGGTAGTTATTAGAATGGAGTTAAAGAAGGGTTTGGTTAATTTGAATGGCCTGATGGAAGAGTAAGCATTATATTTTATCTAAGATATATAAAGGTATGTGGTCAAATAACAAACAACATGGATTTGGAACCTATTTAGGATCTAATGGGATAGAAAAAGAAGGAGAATGGGCTGAAGGTAAATTAGTACGTTGGTAGAGGAATAAAAATCGCATTTAAGACCCTTGATGTTTATCAAATACTACTTTCTCAGTTTTCTTAATATTTAGATAATTTATTTTTTTAGATAATTTAATCATTTTATATTATAAAAGAAAAGATGAAATAATAATTATTCACATGTTTAAAGAACTTGAATAACAATAAGTTATGATTTTTATAAAGAGTTTTTAATTAAATTTATAAAACAAAATTTCCATTTATTAAATAGAAAAATTAAGGAATTTTGTATTTTTATTTTATTGATAATAGTAATAATGATTATATTGCTTTTGAATACTTTTAAATATCCTTTATTTGGAATAAAAATAATGATGATTAATTAAACCTTTAGAGGTTCTAAATTATTGGGAGTAAAAATAAAAAAACCGTTGGAATAATAATAATAAATTCATCTAGAGCATATGTATATAATGTTAATAATTTTTAATTAACTCAAGACAAATTATACACAATAATATTTACAATTTCATTTAAATCTTTTAGCAGAATTTATAAATCGAATTAGATTTTAATTATAATTAGTAATATAAGGAATGAGGTAAAAATATATTATTTAGAAATAAAATATATATTATGATTTAATACTAGGTACATATTACATGAAGTATTAATTTGAATAATTAATCTTAAATTAAAGTATTTTTATTTTTTATAACTATTAAGTACAATTATGATTTGAATCTACTTTTTTTATTTTCAGTTTAGTTTCTATTTTTTTTTATAAGAGTTTAATTTTATAATTATTATATTTATTAGTGAGAAATGAACTCTTATTTAATGTTAGGATGAAATGCATAATAACAGTTATATTTAATGACTAAAATTATGAATATTAATATCAATTATTTGATATTTATATTAAAATTTTATATCAAATATTCAGGGTGATATAATTAAATGAGATCAAGACGAAGTTCTAAGTTCCATTCTAATGATATTTCAAAGGACAATATATTGGGTAGCAGTCGTAAACCATCACCTCCTAAAATCTACACGAATTCCCCAAATATCAATTAAATGACATAAGAGAGTAGCTTCTAAAGAAAAGGAAGGAGCACACCAAAAGACTGTCTTGGATTAGTAAATCCTTATTAATGTAAGAGTGTTAAACATCATTAGAAAAGCTATTATTACCAAATAGAGATTCATCAAAAATGTCTAATAAAAGTGGAAGGAGTAATTTTGAATCAGAGGTATGTGGAAATTATTGATAATTAGCTAAGAGTCCTAATCTGATGATTTAACCAAAATAAGAAGAAAATATGGAAATAGAATGTTAATCACCGATAAAATAATATAGTGGTTTGAAGTATTCTTTCTTTAGTAACTCAGGAACTTCTAAAAACTAACCAACAAGAAGAGTTATTAAAGACGCTTCACTTAATAATAGTTAATTGAAATAAAAAGAATCATAAGATATATTGAAGACATCACAAAGAGCAAATAAATTAAGAAAGGCCAATTATCATTAATAATAAGATAGTGATTCTTAATGCCAAGTCTATGAGTTCAATCGAGAATTGAAAGCATTAAGAGTAAAGAGAACTGAGTCATTTGAATGGTTATAAGAGGAGTCTTAGGTTTCTGAGGAATCTCAATTTAATTAATTTAATTAGATAAATTTGGGAATATATTATATGGATAATTTAAGAAATTATTTAAAAGGATTAAACTTAGAAGGATTATATGCTTAAATGTATATAAATCATTTTGTTCAGCAATTTCATAGTTTGTAATTAAGCAAATAAATGTAATAACCAGATTAGAATAAATTAGAGTCAAAAATGCTACAGTTATAAAAAATGAGTAAAAATAAATTAAATTCAATAGAAAATTAGAAAACTCTTGTTTTAGATTTAGATGAAACTTTGATGCATTGTAATGAATAATAATAAATGAAATATGATTTTAAAATACCTATATAAATGCCAAATGGATAAGTTCATGAAGTATGCTTAAATATATTAATTAGTCAGGAATAAGTGTTAGACCATTTGCATAGTAATTTTTATAAGAATGCTCAAAGCATTTTGAAATTATTATATTTACAGCTTCTCATTAATTATATGCTGATCAAATAATTGACAAGCTTGATCCATCTCGGAAATGGGTATCTCATCGACTTTATAGAGAGAATTGCATATAAACTTAATAAGGAATCTATGTTAAGGATTTACGAATAATAAATAGAGATTTAAAAGATATAGTTTTGATTGATAATGCTGCTTATTCTTATGCTTTCTAAATTGAAAATGGTATACCAATTATACCATATATTGATAATACAAAAGATATTGTAATCAAATTAATTATTTTAAAGGAATTGTTAGGTGTTATAGATTACTTAAAAATTTTGTTATAAATTAATGATGTTAGAGAGATTAATGTAAAGACATTTCTCTTAAATAAAATACGATAATGTGCAAGTTTAGATGAAGCAATAAAACTTCTGTTAGTTGCTTGATCAAATTTTGATTGTTATTTTATGTATTTAATGAATAATCTTAAAATTTTTAGAAGACAGAATTGATTAATAATTCATATCTAAATTTGGTTAATTGAATAACTAAAACATATTTGAATGTACAAGAAAAATATGAACTACATTATAATATTGAATTTTATGTTAAAATAAATAAAAATATGGTTGATAAAAAAATTTAAATTTATCATTTTAACAATCAATGAAATTAGTATGCCGTTTAAGACCTTAACCAAATAATACATCTTCAAGTACTGTTAATTCAAAAAAGGATGTACGTACCAATATCTTTGCTGGTGCATTATCTAATGAATGTATATTATACACCATGATAAGCACCCTAGACAATAGTTGTAAGTTCACGTAATGCAATTTCACAAAAGATAATCTAAGAGTATTTAAAGAATGATTCAGACATTATGAAACAAAGATAATCTATTATTGAGAATTCTGATCTCTTTTAATTTGATTAGGTATTTGGAGAAAAGGCCAATCAATAATTGGTTTATGATTAAGTGATGGCAACTAAAGTTAACAATTTGATAACTGGTTAATCAGGTTTATTGCTTATAGTTGGAGGGCCTAAAAGTGGCAAGAAATACACTCTCAAAGGTGAAGAAAGAGGTTAAGAGAAGGGCTTAGCTGTTATGATAGTAGAAAACATATTCAATTTAATAGAGAGTTCAAAATAATTAAGAGGAAAGGGAAAATTAAATATCTCTATATCTTTGGTAAATAACATAGAGGTTATTGATTTGATTGGGTCATCTAGAAGTTAAACTGTCAAATTTTCATAAGTTAAGAGTGCAAGTGAATTCAAAAAAATGCTTAATTAAAGTTTATTCTAATATAAATAATATGTTAAAGAGCATCCTGATACAAAAAATAATCATATTTTTGTCAAATATTTAATTGAGTAGGATAAACAAGAAGTAGCTTAATTACATTTAATTCTCTTCAATGATTTGAGAAGAGTTACTTAAGAAGCTAAAGATTTTCAAGCAAAATTGAAATAATTACTTGTATCTTTACAAGATTTTTAAGAAAAAGAGTTGGAAAGCAAATCTTTATTGTAATTATATCTTTCTTTGAGAGAAACTAAATTCAATAATATAACTGTTTTATTTTGTGTTTCATAAGTATAATAAGACCATATCACTGCTTACATGACTTTATAGTTTGCAGAAGATTTGAGACAAACAATAAAGCCTTCAACATAAAGAATAGCTTTATCATAGTTGGATAATCAATCAATAAAATCAAAATCTTAGTTGGGAAGAGACAATTTAATATAATAATTTGGATCAAAGGAATCTATAGATGAAAAATTTGATTAACCATCTAGAATTGTGAAGCCAGGTGTATCTGATTAAATTATGAGATTTGGATCTGATTAAAACATAAAACCTGGATTAGATTAAACAGTTTTACATTAATCCAAAATGAACAGTACAATGATGGAGAGATAACCTAGTAGACAAGAAGTCAATTTCTCTAAATAATTCTAAGAACTTAAAGATCTTTTGAAAGAAAAGGAAGTAATGGAGGATTATAAGTAATTCTAGATTAATATATTAGAGTCTAAAGGTTTGAAAAGGAATTAAAGAATCTATATGAAGAGAATTCACGATTGCAGAACAAGACTTATTAATAAGAAGATTCAATAAGATAGAGAGATCTATTAATTTAATAATTGGAATAACATATGGATGATAATAAAAAGAAGATGGAAGCAGAACATTAGTTATTTACATAAGCAAAATAAAAAGAGAATATTTATGAATAAAATCAAGAAGAATTGAATGAAGCATTAGCATAATTGAATCAATAATTAAGATATGGTAATGAGGAATCCTAATTATAAAAATAAAAAATACGAGTTTTAGAAAATGATATTGAAAAGATAAAAGAACAAGAATTAAAAAATATGAAACATTATGAAAAGAGAGAAGATGAATTTATAAATTTAATCCAGTAAGAATAAGAACGCAATAAATAATTATATTAAGAATTAAATTATTTTGCTATAGATATTAAGAATAGAGATTAATAATTATAGGCCAATGATGAAAATATTAAAACATTAAACAAAGTGATTGAAGAATAATCCAAGAGAATTGAAGAAGAGAAATAAAAGAATAAGGAATTATGTGAAAGTGTAAATAATCACAAATTAAAATAAGAAGAGGCTATTAGAGATATAAATTAAATTGAATAGAGATTTACTAGATTGAAGGTTAAATTGGAAACAGAAAACCAATAATTAAAATAAGATAAGGAAAAATATTTATAAAAATATAAGGAGAAATTAAAGAAATATAAAACTCAATTGAAATAATTTGAATAAGAGAATGGACAGATGAAGATTGAAAGAGTTAAATTAGAGACAGAAAATGATTAATTATATGGTATCTCAAAACAATTAGAGACATAATTGGGTAGAGTTCATAGTGAAACTACAGAAAGAATTGGAGGTTCATATGATGCATATGAATAAGAAAAAATTAGATAACAAAATTATTAGTTAAATAATTAATTAAAATAAACAGATTATGAAGTAATATAATTATTAGATATTTTTTTAGATTAAATAATTATCACTTTAATTAAACAATGCAATATAATAATTGGAATAAACTAATATTGAATATGATCATATTTTATAAGAGAATTAGAAATTAAAATAATTATTGGATGATAAATAATCTGAGGCAAAAAAAAATGAGTTTATGATTGAAAAAGTAGTTGAACTTAGTGATAAATAATTAGATGACTTAGAATCAAAGTTCAATAAATTAACTGCTTAAATTAATTCATTATAACATGAAAAGAAATCACTATAATTAGAAAATCAGAATTTAAAGAATTAATTAGAATAAATGGATGGAAATGATATAGTCTTAGAAAAGAGAATAGTAAAATTAAGAAAAGAGAATAAGGATTTAAGTAATTAAGTTAGATAGTTAAATTAAAATATGAAAGAAATGATTATTGAGAAACATTCTGAAATGAGAAATACATCATTACGTTAAAGTAGATATAGTAACAAATTGTTAAGTCAAAATTAATCTTATAGATCTTAAAGATTAATAGATCATGAGGATGATGATATTATTTGATTTATATATACTTATGTTTTTATATATCAATATATTTTTATTCAATAATTTCTACTTTATCCTACTCTTTATTAAGATGTATGAACATCTTAATTTTATTTCTCTAATCTCTTTTATTCTTCTTATAAATCTTATAATTATCTTTATGATTATTAATAATCTCTTTCTAATTGTTAGAATCTCTTCTACCAAGTTTCAATTTCATTTGAGTAATGAACTGTTCTTTCTTAAATTTATATTTCAATTGATTCTTATTATTAATGAATTTGATTTTCTAATTCAGAAATCTCTCTATCTCTATCCTATATCATCTATTGTAATTAAGCCTTCTTTGATTCTAATTCTCTTAATCTAGTATCATCTATAACTTCAATAGCATCTGGTTCAGTAGGTCCTGGTCCTTTTCTCAATTGAATTTGCAATTCTAAAATTTATCTTTCTAAAGTTGCACACTTTAATCTCCATGGTGCTTCAATTTCTATTGAAAATAATTTAGATTGTTACCATCCATATTTATGACTTGTGTTGGTTTCTCTTAATAGACAGTAGGCAAAACATTAGGTTTTGATAATATAGTTTATGGTACATAATTAACTTAAGGTGGAAGTGGAAATTATTGTTAGAATTGTAATGGCTGTTAAATAATTGGTTAGTTTGTTTGTTAAATAGGATATGCTTATCTTTAACCAATAACTGGTTAATTACTATTGGGTAGTATGATATTATATTGATTTTGATTTGGTTGTTAAAAGAATGCTGGGTTTCTATTATCGTTGATCATCAGAGAGTATAGATTTAATATAAATATTATTGTAAATATAGATAAATAAATAAATCTTCTATATGCATATATGAGTATTCTTTTTTTTAGTATATTCATATATCTGCACAACAATTATTACATTAAGCCTTTTTTTAATTATTTTAATTCTATTCCCCATAATATTCAATAAATTCTTCTGTATTTGGATTATTTATCTATTAGTTCTGTTACTTGAATACCTTTTATAACTATTTCTTTGGCATCGCATTTTGACTAACAATTTTGCTTGTTGACATAGAACTGTTGGCATTGTTTACATACTTGATACCATATTATTCATTCACTATATTTGGATCCTCCATAGCCATCTAATAAATTTGATGTGCCAATTCCATGAATGCATTTTCCACATTAGATCCTTACAAAGCAGAACATTCAGTATACAGACATTCATTTTCTTTAGCATATTGGGCAGCTTCATAAGATTCTACTTCTCTATGATTTTGAAGGTCAGTCTTATTGCCAATAAGTAGAAATTTCATTCTACTATTGCCATTGTCAAGAGCCTCACGATGCCAATTACGAATGTTTTCAAAAGTCTCTCGTCTTGTAATGTCAAAAACCATGATAGCTCCAGCTGCTGCTCTGTAATACAAACGTGTCACACTTTTAAAATTCTCTTGTCCAGACTTTTCATTAAGGATCTTTTTACTGTATCCCACATCTGCAATTTAATGACATGATCATTCACTTAAATATATTTGATATTGAATTCAACTCCAATAGTCAAATTATAGTCATCACAAAACCTCTTCTCGACAAATTACTTAAGCAGTGATGTCTTACCTACAGCTATAAAGATATAATGTATTATAAATACCAACATCTCCAATTAAAATAAATTTGAATAACAGACTTGCTTCATTCTCATCAATATTATTTTATAACATTATTTTATTAAAACATTAAATAACTAAAATAACTATCTTTTTTTTAATAAATTTTCATTTATTAATATAAATTATCTATCATTATTAAGGATAACTGATAGAAAATTATGTTTGTTTGACAAAATTATTTCAAAATCCTTATTAGGGAAA